CCCAAGTCCTCAAAGAGTTAAAGTTAATGAGATAATTAAGTGACTAATTAAATGATGATTGGGCATTAGTGATGAAAACCTGCTGTTATTGAGAATTATAGAGGATCAGGTGTTGATGTTTTAGTGGTTAAAATGATGTCACCATCATGGAGATCAGTGTTTGCTTTAGTTGAACTCTTGACCCTTGATTTCTGTGTTATGTCTCACACTGTAAAAATGCATGAAGCTTTAAGGTTTTTTTTTTATGTGATGAAGAAGTCATCATGAGCTGGTTCAATAACATTCAAAATAATTATTATTTGTAGGTTTGGCATAATCAGCCCTGTGAAACTACAGCATGCATTTAAACCTCATATCAATTCTCAGTAAGAGATTCTGCAGACATGAAATTAAGTCAACCTGGTTAGTAATGAGTGAAGCTGGTGGTGCTGTTTGTGGAGTTGTTTAATAAGGACTTGAGAGATTTAATGTTTTTTTTTTCCCCCAGTTAATTTCATCTAAGGCTGTGGCTGAAGTCAGATGTAGTTCTTGTGTTTCTCTTTTCTTCAGTGATTTTGATTGTTAACAGCAGGTGTTCATCACTAATGTGCAGTCACCATTTAATTAGTCACTTAATTATCTCATTAACTTTAACTCTTTGAGGACTTGGGATATGACTTGAAGACTTGCTTGTGACTTGAAAGGAATGACTTGGTCCCATCTCTGTCCTCCTGGTTGAAAAACTGTGCTAATTAGCAAATCCAGGTGATTGGAACAAAATACTGTGGAGGACTTTTACTTTCTGAACCTGGATTTTACACCTCTGGAAACAATACTGCATTTGCTTAAAAGCAAATTACTTTACTGATTTTCTGGAGCTCAGCCATCCAACTAGACAGACTGACAACACACTCTCAACAGGTAAATTATTTATTTCTTAAAATGTCTATGAATTATAACTTTCAAATGCTAATTGGTTTCTGTTGTCTTTTCTCTTTTTAGTTTAAGAGAACATGTAAGTGTGACCAGCTCTATTCAGTTAAGGATACTCTCCTCTTCTTCACTAAATAACAAAGATATTGAATTTTTATATTAGATTTTTTTTGTATTACTAGTGCATAAACATACCCTATCCCTTGACTTTATATAACTTTTTCCTTTTAACATTGCGAAAGTGCTTACATATACTTTTGGCCTTCATAAACAGTTGTTTTCACATAAACAAATGAAAGCAGACAAACTATATCTAAACTCAATTGTGCTATTTATATTCTACACCCTCATCATCTGCAGAGAGAAACTGCCATTCAATCCCAACAAAATACACATAATGATTAACTTAAAGGCACCATAGAGGATTGTGAAGATATTTCACTGGAGCTTGGTCTTCAATACACTATTTTATGTTCTATGTTGTTTTATTTCTTTAAGCATTTATTTATGTTCAACGTCCATTGTCATTTATTAATGTATTCTGCTAATAACTGTTGTTAGAACACTGTAATTGTTGCTACAATTTCACGGCATAAAAAAAACTTAATTGACACGTTGTTGTTGATGATTTTATGTAAAAGCCTAAAAGACACTTCAAAATATTAAAAGACCAGGCAGATAGAGGGGTAGAAAAGCAATATTAATAAATAATATATACAAATATTACTAACATTTAATGATATTAACGAAAAACTATCATTAAAAAGGTTATTTATAACACCAATAAGGTCCTATATAGCCTTTTCAAAGCATGGTTCTATATGGAACGCTATAAAAAGGGTTCTATTTAGCACTAAAAAGGATTCTGCTATTGTTATAAGTCGAAGAACCCTTCTCTGGTACTGTTTGGAACCATTTTTCTTAAAGAGTGTAGAGCTGATATCCTGCTCTCCTCCTTTCTGAGGAACTGATGGAGTTTCTTAAACTTGATTCTTCTCTCTGTCTGTTGAACTTGAGACTGGGGGGTCATTTATGCATGTTTATTGCATGTGTATCTGAATCAGTAGATTATCTTGCCTAATTATGTTGGCTTGAGAAACTTATGTTTTTTCTACAAATGACAATCAAAACAAAAGAAAAGAAAACAAACAGAGATGGTTGAAATGAGTCAAGTTTATTCAATCTCCACCAGACAAAAACTTAAAATCTAAACAATTGAAACTCAGTTAAGGCCAATTCACACTACACCGGCAGATGCGAGAAGTGACGTACTGGTGGTTGTCTGCATTGGCTGGAGTCTGTTGGTACAGTGTGAATTGGCCTGTTTCTAATAGTTCTAACCTATCTCTATCTATCTATTTATCTATCTGACAGACTGCATAAAATTAACCCTTAACATCTTCAAACTTCAAGCTTTTAAAACTACTAACTCAAACGTATCACTACTTAAAACTTAAAATCTTAAGACTTAAAGCCATTAAATCTACTTCAAACTTTCTGCTTGGGCTTTCTCAAGCCAACATAAAGTTTGTCTTGTTTTTAATTATTCTACTTTGTTCATAAATTGTTTGCCATTTTTTATGGTAAAAAAAAAGTTTCCCTATGACACATGAAACTGTGGGAAAAAAATTAATCAAATATTTAATTAAATATTACTTTAAAGATCATATATATGGAACATTTATGGAATTTGACACCTGATTGTAATTACAGATCTTGGCATATTGTGCTGCAGCATTCTGTAATGACCACAAAGTCTTCTCAGCTGGACGAAGAGCTGCTTTCAGCTTTTCATTTACAGAAAACACCCACAAGGACTAATCAACACATGCATTTAAACACTTTTTTTATTACTAAGCATTTAAAGAAAAATTCCATTTTATTTAGCTTAACTTACTACTGGGTCATTCTATGGAAATCAAATACAATTCAAATGTTTACTATGATTTAAAATTATGCTTGTCAAAAACAGCTTATTATTAAATAGTAAGGATAATGCTCTTTCTAAATTATTGGAATGTTGATTTAATAAATACACACCATTCTTATAAATAATAAAAAAAATATATATAAAATGTCAAATATACAGGTCAGTGGGTAAAAAAAAAATATAATTATCGAATGTAAAATAGATCAAAAATTAAATAGCAGCACATGTTTATGACTAGCCATGGATATTAAACTCTTAACTTACCATAAAATATGTGGTCTTTTATTTACCCAATGTTAACAGATTTACAGCCATGAAATGGCATCTCTATTTCTTCTTTTACTTTCGTTTTTACCTGTGTGAGGTGTTGTGTTCCTTTAACTGCACGCCTGTTAAAAACAAACTTTACAAACAAACTCTAGTGGCGCAGAGCGTCATTACATCATGACCGCGTCGCTCACATACAGGGCCCTATTTTAACAATCTAAGCGCAAGGTCTAAAGCGTGTCCAAATCCACTTTTGCTAGTTTAACGAAGGGAAAATCGGTCTGTGTGCCCGGCGTGTGGTCTAAAAGGGTTGTCCCTATTCTCTTAATGCAATGGTTCTCAAACCTGTCCTGGAGTACCCACAGCCCTGCACATTTTGTATGTCTCCCTCATCTATCACACCTGATTCAACTCATCAGCGGAGACTGCATGACCTGAAGTGGGTGTGTCAGATATAGGAAGACATACAAAATGTGCAGTGCTGGGGGTACTTCGTGGAAAGGTTTGAGAACCACAGTCTTACAGTTTTTCTCGATTGCTTAAACATTTCTTGAAACTATGCCTCATATTCTCAAAACAGTAAACACAATTCCCCAAACATCCTATTTTCAGGTTAAAATGAAGCTCTACACTCAAAACCATTCACTCTTGCTGAAAAACCAAACTTTTCCCTCAGACATCACACACAAGCTTCCAAAAATACACACAGTATTACACACTGGTGCAATAAATTCAAAACAATATATCCAAAACTGGTAAGTTATGTTGCTTGTGGTTCTCCCCCTCAAACACCTTTTCACATGAACACAAAAGATACAACCAATGTATACATTGGTACATTTTTATTCATTCATGTACTACACAGCACAACTGTAAAAAAAAAAAAAAACCCGTCTTTGTTCTGGGTCAGGCCAGAGAATGTCGTGCACATCACAGGCTTGCCCCTAGCCAGGCAGCGAGGGTAAAATCCTCTTGCATGCCTG